TAACCCAATAAACATACTGCTGGCTTATACCCGACAACAGTATAGTGGTGCTTAGTGCAAAAAACACATGTATTTGTACAATGCAGCGGCGTTCACGGTCAGAGTCCTCGGCCGCCATTTCCAGTTTGAAAAGTGGTCCCTCCCCTTCCGCTAAGTAGCCAAGATGGCGACCATTGACGGCAAGAAGTGTCCATAGTTTCACACTCAACTTCTTGAACGTTTTGAGTGCACCATCCTGGTACTCAGAGTGCACTGCATTTTCTATACTTCTCAGTGTGAACGCACTTATACACTCAAAATATTAAGTGTAAGTACAGAAGTACGCGATTTGAGACACAGCAGCAGTCTCTAACAACCATTTCCAGATCCAGTGTTAAGGACCCATCCAGGCTGTGCTCTGTTTTGCATACATATACTCAATGTGATTACAAAACACAAAAGGTCAAGTCAGTTATTCAAAACAAAGGGAAAAAATTCTTTGAAATAAGACTGTGACAGTTGTTGTCATCCTTTTACCGAGAAAACAATGCCCCCAGATGAATGATTAGAGAATCGTAAAATCAAACATTATGGAAATGACTGCAGGGCATTAAATCAGAAGCTCAAATCATGAGTAAACAAATAGGCCTAAATTACCCTTTATCCATCACCATTTCCAAATCCAGTGTTTATAATGTGTTGATTTGTGCAATTTAGATGCTGCATATCATAGTGCACTGAGATTTATAATTCCAGGGCTGGTTGGCCATCTTTGACCTTTCGTAGGTGACTGGTATTTGTTCATTTATAAAGCCATACTGGGTAAACTCCCTTCATACATTTGCACTTTGACTGAACAGAGATCTGACTGTAACTATAGACTGAGATCTCAAGATTTAGTTTTGTTGTCTGTCCCTAGTGCTTGGACTGAGCTGAGAAAGAAGGCTTTCATCTGCTCTGCTCCTCTCACTTGGAATAAACTTCAAAAAGATTTGAAACTACGTGAACTGGTCTCTCTACCTGACTCTAAAGCTCTCATAAGTACAAGGATGAATGTGTCGGTTGGTTCTTGTCATTGTGCATAGGTGTTTTAATATTTGTACATGTTATTGTATTTCTTCTGTGTTCGGCTGTAACTTTTTGTGTGTGCTGCTGTCTTGGCCAGGTCTCCCTTGTAAAAGACACTGTTGATCTCAATGGGACTTACCTGGTTTAATATGGGGTAAATGAAAATAAATAAAAATTCCAAGACTCTTTTGAGACCCCTGTATGCGGAAGGTTTCAAATACATTCAGAAAAATGGCCACGTTTACCCTCACCGAATGTAGCCTAGATTTGGAGCACTATGTGTCCCCCCCATCCCTGATGACGATGCATTGAGCATTAAGCCATCACTGGACTGCTATCAAGATTTAGTTTTACATATTAATGTCTTACAAACATACCCTGCTGCTTCTTGATGCCTTTTTTAATTGCAATAATAATTTATGTTTTGGAACCCACATTTAGTTCATAAACTATATCCAAGTAGAAGCTTCCCTGTAATTATTTTTGAATTAGCCATCAAAACAAAGTCCAGCAGCTGTGTGAGATTTCCTAGATCGCAAGAAGAGAGTCATCATGTAATTGATACACTAATCAATGTCTTGAGTCATTAAAAATTAAATTTGAAATTCTCCAGGAGTCTGTATTTGTGAAATTGCTAATTACTACACAATACATTCATTACCCTTTTATTACAGAGCCTCATCATGATCTCTGTGTGGGTTTATGGTTTATGGTTAATTCTAGCGATAATGATAGTGAAATGAAAAACGCTTTTGAAGACAGTCGACTCGAGTCAAAGATGCTGTTTTTTGTTGGTGCGTGTAATTTTTTTAGGAAGAGGTAAGAGAACATAAAATACTGATTAGATTCATGTCTGGATACTGTTTATGAAGAGGTCACCGTAGTTCATGCTGTTCATTATGCGTTACATCCTGCTGTTCATCAATTGGCCTTGAGCAGTATTGACAATTGGCAAAGCTTGTGCGTGTGTGTGTGTGTGTATTAGTTTTCATGAGTAATGAAGTTTTATTTTGTCCCAGTTGATTGGCTTATTAAAGCTGTAACATTCTCTGTGAAGCAGAGAGATTGTATTGATTGTGAATTGAAATCCGTTGCTGGGTGGCCCTTTAGTGCGGCAGTTTCTCTCCACCCGTCATTATAAAGATTGTTATTTGAAGAGTAGTTGTCCCTGCAGGCTGCCACTGTATCGGTGATGATTTCACTCACTGCTCTTTTGTTCTCCTTCTTTTCTTTTAATATGACATTAATATCAATACTCTGCCGTTGGATTTGTCAGAAAGACTGTGTCAGCTCACAGCATGGGGGCACTGAGAGGTGTTTTTATTTTTAATGTCTTTTCCCTTCTTACAGAGGGGTTATCAATTTATATTCTCTCCACAAATCCAAAAGATATTCACTTAACCCCCAAACCGATCCTCCTCCATCATTTTATTGAACCAACCTAACTCCAGTATTTGTCCCCAGGCTTTAAATGTGACACCCACTCGCATACACAAATGCCTCGAAGATTGGAATCAGAGGGTTTAATAAAAAATATGATAATTTTGTGGCCGACTGCCTTAGGTTTACCTTCCATGAGAATACTCTCTGGCTTATCTCTGCTGTCCTCCATGTCCAATTGCCAGCCAAGTTCTTTACCCTCTGCATATGGAAATTTGCTTTTTGATGTTGCCGTCCACATCAGACGAACACTTTTAGGTGAATTTGGTTGCGTTAGTTGTTACTTTGACATAGTTAGCAAGAAAGTTGTTGTTCTCTGCTGCCTTTACGTGCTATATTAGTGTGTTTGTAATGTTGACAAGAGTTTGACATATACAAAAGCACAACTACTGCTGTTACCAACTGAGGCACTAGGAGGTTAGGTGCTTTGATTAAATGTACAATATGTCAGTTTTGCAAGGGGTCTCTCAATTATATAAATAACAAAAAGGCAGAGCAATTGCAGTCAGTATCTCATGGTTAGAATTCCTTCAGTTGAAGTTTTAAGTGGGAGCTGAATTGCCCACAGACGTACAAGGTGATTAAAACAGGTAGAAACAATAAATTAAGCAGTTTAATGTTAAAAATCAGTGTTTCTCCAAAGCTGTTTGGCTGGTCGTGGAGAAGCTGCTCGCCCATCTCCAGCTCATGTCTGCTCACCTTCTTTCCCTGACTACTTAAAATCCAGAAGTTCAGGAGGTTTTTACCATGAGCCGAATTATCCGCAGAAGTCTCTTCCTCTCAAAAACAAATGGACCTGGTGATTCAAACTGGTAAAAGCAAAGAATAAAGCAGTTTTATGTTAAAAATCAGTGTTTCTCCAATGCTGTTCGACATAGCAGGGGCTAGAGCCAAGCTGCTGTGCTTGTTTCTCTGATAGCTTAAGATCCAGACGTCTGATAACTTGTCCTTCATTGAGTTAAAGCATTTAGTATGAATGACATCGATCTGAAAAGTGTGTCCTAAAAATGTTCTCAAGACTGGATAAAAAGTCAGTTTATGACAGCTTCTGAAACACAACTACAATGCACAAAGGAGATGTGATGCCACTGAGGTGACGACAACCAAATGACATAGACTGTGTCCTCCATCAAAATTACAGATTTATCTGGGTTTACGCATTGTAGGAAACATTTGGGATAAGTGCACAACCAAAAAATATGTTTAACTTCGGTTATTTAGTCATGGAAATTGTAATGTGGGAGAGCATATATTGAATCTTTAGGGTCACATCAACAGTGGACAATATTGAAGAGGGATCAATGAGGCCAATTTGGCAGATTTTTCACACTGATGTTAAGACATGATGATTTGAGGTGTCTGCTCACTACGTTTTTTTTCTTACCTGATATCTCAGTAGAGGTTTTTGATTGGCTGTGTTCTGAAATTGGATACTGTATGGCTTTGTTTGGCTTTCGTTCTGACATTCATGCTGTTCCAAGAGATTTTGCTACATTTAAACTAATTAATAACTGCTATCTGTACGTTGCTTTAGTTTAATCCTCTGAGCTGTGAGGAAGCCATCAACAAGCTGCGTGCGTCTTCATTGACAGCGTGTTGAGAGCATATGCCGCACTGGCTCACACGATCCATCATCTGCTCCGTGTGTTTAGCGGCGTTCTGAATGTCTGTATTTGTCCATGTCCCTGCAGATTGCCGTGAGATCCTCCTGCCGCTGATGACGGACCAGCTGAAGTTCCACCTGGAGAAGCGTGAGGAGCTAAAGGCTTGCTGCCAGCTGCTCAGTGACATCCTGGAAGTGCTCTACAGGAAGGATGTGGTGAGAAACATGACTCTCCAGCTTTGTGAACTGTTATTTCCCTCTGGGATAAATAGCGGCATAACAAGGGAATCCAGGAGTCCCTTCATAAAGCAGAAGCACGTTTCCACTGTGGTTATTTTACTGAACAGCTACTAATCAGTGTGCTGTTCTTAATTTATTTTATTGCGCTGCGTGCCCTGAAAGGAGCATGTTTTACAGCACTGTTAATTTACTAACCTGTAGAGTTGGCTGTGCTCAGTAATTCATTGCTCAGTGTGGCTAGAGGCCATCTTCAACACAAATGAATGTGCTCCAAGAACATGGTGATGAGCTCCATGGTAAAGCGGAGCCAGAGTACTTATAGCGAAGCAGTCAACATGATGATTAATCACCATCAGAGTCAATAACAGAGCCAGTTATGTAGCTATTTAAAGGTAATGATTGTTTTCCTTCGTTAGTCTATGCATTGTTTTTTCAGTTAATCAATTCCAACGTCTACAGGTCCTTAAAAAGTCTTGAAATTTCTTAAGTTTTTTTGCCTTAAATCATTAAATAGTCGTAAGTTTGAATTTGTGAGGTCTTAATTGCCACAAAATTTTTCTTTTAATTTATTTTCAGTCAGCATGAGTCAAGCTTTTTCTGTCTGAAAGTCACATTTCTGATCTTTTAACCGACCACTTTTTACTTTAGACTTGCATTTACCTGTTGCCAAAAATACACATTAACCTAACTCACTCTCATAACCATAAACTTACCTCTGCACAGGAGCACATATTTACTACTTACCTTTATACTTACCTGCAATGCTTGAAAAAGAAAGAGATGATTTGTCCAAAAATCAGTCTAAAATTTTGTTAAAAATGATCTTAAAGGTCCTTAAAAGCCTTAAATTTAAGTGCTTGATACCTGTAGACAGTGTTGGGGAATACTTAGCAAGGTGTAATTACATTACAAAATAAATGTAGTTGTTATAAGTTAAAGTTACTGAGAGAAAATATGTAATTAAATTACAACTTTATTAAATTAGACTGCTTCCAGTGATGTAGAGGTAGCTAATGAGGTGGGTGTACTACTAAGCAGATGGTTAGGTTACCACAGAGCAGGTGGGTATTGGCTTTATGGCTGATACAGCTGGTGGGTGTACTGTAAACAGCCAGAAAAAGAAGTGGGAATACCCTGTGTACATTTGTGTACCGTCCACTTCACTATTTCTGGACATTTTTTTAGCTAAATTGCCCATTAAGAAAAATCAAAAAAATAATCAACTGTAATGAGCTACATTACGTCTAACATTTTTAACAGGGTAACTAGTAATCTGTAGCCTATTACATTTTAAGATAACCTTCCCAACACTGCCTGCAGACACCCTGAATTCATTTATTAGTTTATAAAGTGGCAGAAAATAGTTAAATAATTCCAATTAGAAGTTCCCCGGGTCCAAGGTGACCTTTTCAGATTGCTTGTTTTGTCTGACCTACCTACACTTTCCAAAATATTCAGTTTACAATTACATAAAATAAAGAAAAGCATCTGACATTTTCCCGATTAATGACTTAAACAATGAATTTTTCACTGGAGTGTACATCCTGCCCACTCAGGCATCAGTGTCAGACCTCACATGCACACTTGATAACACACGTGCGCCCGAGCACTCAGCGGCTTCACAGCCGTGTTTCATCCTCGACCATGCCCAGACTCCTGATGTCCTCCCTCAGGCCCTCATAGACTCCCCTCGCCATTGATCACCACGGCCCGGCCTCCCACACTCCATTCTGCGAGGGATTATCTCCCACTTGCTCTGCCTTCACACTTCTGTCTCTCTCTGTGTTGCGTCTCCCTGCCTTGCTCCGTCTTTCATACCTTCCCTGCTCTGCACTCTTCCATGCACAAAAAGACAAGGAAACTTGAGTGTCTAAGTTATCAAACAGCTTATACCTTATTAGAAACAAGGATCTAATTTTATATTTCCTTCGTAAATAGCTGGATTCTGACTGTAAGAATCAGGATGTCATGCGCTGGGTTTGTGTGGGAAGTTTAAAAAGGCTTGGATTTTTCTCACAAAAAAAAAAAAAAAAACTCTGGGAATCATGTGGGTTTTCACCAAAGATGTGCATCACACTTGGTACGTTGGAAGGCAATATCTGTAACTCCCTCCTCAGATAGTTTATTCTCCCCAGTGCTCCTCTGCGATTGTCTGAATGTTTGTGTGTGCGTGCGTGCGTGCATGCACACACCCGCGTGCACGAGTTCTTCAACCGCAGAAGGAGCTGTGTAAATTATTAAAAGTTTAGGTTGACGCTGCAGAACTCGGTCTGCTTAGAAGACTCCCCCCACAGACAGGTAGAGACAGTGAGAAACAGCCCTGTGCTCACTCAAACTCACTAATAAAGTCCGTGGAAAATCGTCCCACTTATGACAACGGCACAACTGCCCCATGGGTGTTTTCCTCCTCCAAAAGCTGGGATTCACGATGTATAAATCATCTTGGCTGCATCAGTCATATTTGTCAGGTTTCTTAGCGCCAAATTTCCTCAAAGTATTCTCAGAGTTTCAAGTTTTGAAGAGCGTGTATTATTATTTATTGTATCTATTGATAAAGACTGACGGATTATTTGTTTTGTAGTGTCACAAAAAGCAGTGAAGGAGTCAGATTTTCAGTTATAAGGATGTCTTGACAAATGCAAATTCACAGTAGCTGTAACTACGTACACACATGTATCCATGCATTAATGCATTCACACAACACCACAAACACCTGTCACCAATCAAGTGATGCCTCGCTATGACAGCTGTTCCATGAGTTATGAAAGGGGACATGTCAAAATGGGCTGTCTGTATGTATATTTCTGTGTGGGTGTGGGTGTGTGTCTTCCTACAAAGTTCAGTCATGCTACAGGAAGCTGTTAAGAAGTTATGCGCCTTTTTGTTATAAGCCACTCCCCCTGCCACACCCTCTTTTTTGCCAGTTTGCATGACCAGTTGATCAGCTGTCCTTTGGCTCATGACCAATGTTTCCACGAAATCTTATGCAAGTCTGTGAATCCATTCGGAAGAGTTGGTGCTCTGATTGTTATCAGTCGATATTCGTCCGTACAGTTTGAGGGCCAATTGGAAGGCCGATCAGATGACACAAAACACACGAGACAATACACACCGCTTCAGTACAGTAGCTTCACTGGTCTGACAAACTGTAGCTCACACTGAACATTCATGGTTTACAGCCAACCTGATGTCCAGCTTATCTGCCTGTTCCCAGTCCAGGCAAACTGTCTCCTTCTTTGGCCGCCACAGTTGTGATACACTCCGCTGTTCTGACAGTGTTTACATTTAGCTTTGTTTTGTCTTGTATTTAACCTACACGATCAACATGGCATCTTCATGTCTACCGGCTCTTTCTCTTCTGCGTTTCTTGAGGATTTGAGTCGTTTTGTCTCTGACTGGAAATGCAGAGGTGATTAGGGGAGACCAGGGTCGATTGTTACAAATTTTGGTTTTGATGTCATCACTCAAAAACCTCTTGAACCACTGGATTTTATGTAGGCAACTTGTATCTGTGTTCTACATGTTAACAGCTATCAGTCATTTTTACAAGCAATGTTAAAGTCACAGTATTGATAAAAGCACTCGATATCGAATTATTACATTTGCCTCCACCTGCAGGAGCGTTTGTAATAGTATATGGGAAGCATTTTATAAACCATGACTCCATGACTCGACAGTGTACAGATGCGTGTCCAAAGCTCTTCTTGTGTCATCAGACATGCTACATATGTTAAGGCAGCACAAAATAAAGCTCATGTACGTCAGCACCACTGCTGAAAAAAATCCTTGGGGAAACCATGGGATAGGCAGTCAGTGACTGTCCCAGAGTTAGTTAGATAGCTAAGTGTAGTTAGCAGTCCCTGAGCAGGCAAATCAACTAAAGAACGGTGGTGTCAAATGTTATAATTCAGATAAAGGTCCTGCATAAATACTGCATAAAACTAAAAGCACTTTCTGTTAAAAAACATCATACAAAAGGGGAACTGAATAATAATTATAACAATATAATAATACATTTAATTTATAGAGTGCTTTTCGTCGTACTCTGAGACATCTTACAAAAGTTTAGAATGATCATAAATAGAATACACAAAAATATATAACCCCCAACATTATTCACACATTAAAAGCAGTATTTAACAGGTGATTTTTGATAAGAAATTTGAACTGGGAGAAGTTGGTGCAGTCCTGAATGCGTTTGGGAAGAGAATTTCTGAGGGAGGGAGAAGGCTCTGTCGCCCCAGGTCCGATGCTTGGTCCTGAGTGGTGGAGTCAGGAGGTTGGCATCAGAAGAGGGGAGGCTGCGGGAAGGAGAGTGGTGGTGGAGCAGGTCAGTGTGGTAGGAGGGGGCCTGGTTATTGAGGGCTTTATGAGTGAGGAGAATTGGATCTGTTGTGGGACAGGAAGCCAGTGGAGGTTCTGGAGGACGGGGGTGATGTGATCACGGACGCAGGAATGGATGAGCAGACGAGCAGCGGAGTTCTAAATGTATTGGAGTTTATTCAGGACTTTGGATGACGTACCAGAGGATGCTGTTGCAGTAGTCAATCCTGGATGTGATGAAGGCGTGGTTGAGGGTTTCGGGAGCAGAGAGGGAGAGTGATGGGCGGAGGCGAGCTGTGTTTTTTAGGTGGGAAAAGACAGTTCTTGTAATTTGATTGACATGTTGTTGGAAGGATAGGTTGCTGTTGAAAATACCTCCGAGGCTGCGGATGTGTGGGGAGGAATGCAGAGTGGAGTTATGAATGGTGAAGCAGAGAGCAGTGGTTTTGGTGAGGGATCTTTAGGACTTTGTGGTTAGTGGTCACATGATGGGTTGTGTTTCAGACCTGATTTCAGTTGTGAAAATTTGCTGTTAGCAGTTAATGGCAGAGCACCTTGATTATTTTTGGTCCATTGTCCTATGGCTGTGGCTCAGGAGGTGGAGCATGGTGTCCACTAATTGGAGGACTGGTGGTTTGATCCCCGGCTCCTCCTGTCTGTATGTCGAAGTATCCTTGGGCAGGACACTGAACCCCAAATTGCTCCTGATGGCTGTTCCATCGGTGTGCGTGTGAACGTCCAAACTGAGTAGCAGGTGGCACCTTGTATGGTAGTGGAGTGTGTGTGACTTGGTGAATGTGACTGTAATGTAAAATGTTTGAGCGGTAGGAAGACTAGAACGGTGCTATGCAATTTATCATTCCATTCACAATATTTGTCATTCAGAATCTATCCTAAAACACACGGAGACATCAGTTTTGAAATTAGAAGACATATTTAAAGTCAGTGTGTATTGTGTATTTTTGCAGGGTCCCACCCAGTGGCACGTGCAGATCGTCATGGAGAAGCTCCTGAGGACAGTTAACAGGACAGTCATCTCCATGGGCCGCGACTCTCCTCACATAGTAAGTGTGTCTGCTTCTCTGCAACTGTTAGCTGTACACCCACGGCAAGCCTTCTTTTTTTCCTTCTGTTTATCACACACATACGTACTCGTACACTTGTGCGCACACACATTCGCACGCACACTCCAATTTCGAGGCCTCTGTACCACAACCAGCTTAACTCCCACAGGCCCACTGCAACTCCAATTCCATTCCAAAGCTATCATTAAAGGTAAAGTCTACCTTGGCAGAATGCTTTCACACAACCTCAATCTAAGAGTGCCTTTGATCTGCTCATATCTTTCTCCAGCCAGTTGTTTGTGTGCTGATCTGTATGTGTGTGTTTTGCTGTTTCACAAGTTTTTTTTTTTTTTTCACGTGTCTTTGCCTGTTTGTTTGTCTGATCCCTCATTTATTAGAACATTGCTGATGCTCTGTGCTGTAATCTAATCACACAAACCCGCGTAGCCCCTCACTGCCGTTAGCATCCTTCCCCCAGTCGCTCTCTCAGCTAGAGCTCGGTAGCAATTAACGCACTTATCAGTCATAGTATAAATATTGTGCTGTCTGCTTTATTTCCGTGGCAAAGCCTTCATCCATTTTCATGAGTCCAAAGAGTCCAATGAATGTCAACTTCGGTATTCGTTGAGTCATGAATATTAACTTTGGTATTCGTTGAGTCATTCTGTTGCATCCTGTTGACGCTTGTGTTTGTTAGAGGTGCACGTAGCCTGTGATGTGACTTTGAAAGTGAGACTTGGGTAATAAACATATATAATTTTTATGCAAGGCTTTATGACGGAGGAGATTCCTCTGAGGGCACTTAAAGGTACTTTTATAGCTCACTTAAATACAGCAGAGTGATGAGAGAGACATTTTCTCCGGACTTCAACTATGTATAGCAAAATGGAGAGTCGTATGACACTGACTCATTATATTGATGCTGGTACAGGTTAGCGTAGCATCCTTTCTCCTGCTGTCTCGGGTTATTTATCGCATGTTTGTGTGCACAGCACCGTCTCCATCTGGGGAGCAGCAGGAACCGGCGTCACCTGTTTAAATGGAAGCTTATCTGCTTTTATTACCAGTCACTGAGCCACACCAGCAGAGAGAGATTTAAAAAAACCCAACAGCAGCCAGAGTTATCACTCACTAATCATCCAGCGTGTGTTTGTGAGCGTGTGTGTTATGTCACCGCGGTATATCCGCAGCACTCATCCTTTGTCCTCTGTGTCCTGTCTTACTCTTGTCTTCATTCTTCTCAACGCGGGGACTCTCTATCCATTCCTTTATTCCACCTCTTCCTCTGTTTAAAGGTATTTCAGCAATGCACCAAGCTAATTGTGTAAATGGGGAGCCCTCTGTTGTGTAACAGATCGCCAGCGTGCCTCGCACTGCATAATGTAAAGCTAATGAAGCTGTGAGTTGAGCCGAAGCCTCCCTGCTGCCCCCTCTCTCCCAGCCAGCTGCCTGGAGGGGGTCTAGGACTCCCACTAACTCTCCCTCTTTGGCTCTCCAGTCTATTCATTGTTATACCAGGGCATTGACGCTCTGCACCGTCCCACCTGGCTCACAGTCAGAGAGTTTGAAAAGTCGGATTTGGAATAGAGATTGTACGCTGGTAGATATTTTGTCAGAACTCGGACCAGCTGCCTTTGCCTTTTTTTGTTTTCCGTCTGTTATTTTTCACTGCAGCGAGGGTCTTTTGATGATGAATTTCAGCTATGGAACTTACCCACCACTTTGTTTAAAAGGCTATCAACGCTCATGAAGGCAACACAAGTAGGCCTACCTCTCTGCTGTATTATACTAAGTGCATCCATTTCAGTGCGCCCCCTGTGGTGCAGGTGAAATGGCGTTCCCTGCTTCCAGCGGTGGCTGCTGAATGGTGCAAAAACAGACCAGCCTCCTTTCTGGTTAATGAAACTGCTCTACCACTGATCTCCTGTGGCCCTTATTGTAACTATCTACTTTGTATACATGTGCTGCAGCTGCCCTCCACCTTACTTCGCTCCCTCATATACAGCTTGCTTTTATTGTCTCTACTGACCCTTACCTTTTGTCGGCTGCTAGCTGGCCACTACACTTGACATTTCTAAGCACCTGCATAATATCAGTGAGCAGGGTGTCCTTCTAGCCAGTGGGAGTTTGAGGTCACATCAAAGCCCCGTCTTTTTGAAAGCACTGTGTCTTTTTTTACACACACACTATAGATGATGTAGTACTTGAGGACAGAAGCTGCATTTGAAGCAGCTCCCCAAATCACTACATAATGATCAATAAGGTTGGTGTGAATTTTTAACAGCTATGAGACCCAGTTAGTGCTGCTGGAAGCGTTGTAGCTTTCTAATCAGAGGACTGTTGTTGCCGCCGCTGGGCACTGCTGCCTACTCTGCAGGCAGATTGTGCGCCGCTGCTCACACAACACTGCAGCCAACCACCGACCTTGTTCTTCTGAGTGGCAGCCTCTTACATTTAGATTTATGCATTAACGTTCTACTTTGTCTCCCGCCTCTCTCCCCCTCTCTCTTCCCTTTCCTCTCTGCTCTCTCCTGGAGGTGTTGGACACAGAATGTTGATGAGAATGATCACAGTGACGGCTTGGGGGCGTCAGTTTTTGTTGTGTGTTGTCACCACAGTGCTACGCCTGTTAGCGTCGCCACACATTTGCATCGTCGGACATCCCAGCAGGCTGCATCTTTATATTCATGTCCACCCTCATGCAGGTTGAGATGAGTCCTTGTGAATACATTTACATTAGGGTTGTAGCAGAAACATTTTCGGCTGTCCCTGCTAAAATTAGTTCTACCTGTATGCCCTTGAATTTCATTTTCATTTGGTTTTAAGCTTCTAGATGAGCCCTGCAGATACACATGGGGAGGAAGCTGCAGCAGGAAAAATCAATGTGTTACACGCTTGTCTTTTGCTTTTTTGAAATTGCAACCAAACCAATGAAAGAAACCTTGTTTTTCTCAGTCTGTCATGTTAGCCACACTGACCTTTGTATATTAAATGTCAGAATGAATATTATAAAATAATAAATTCCTGCCAGACCTGAGGATATATTGGAAACACTGCTAGACAGATGGCTTTACCTTAATGTTGTCTTAATGACCTGTTAAACTTTTTGTAGCTGTAGTTTCGAGGACAAAGTGACAACAGGTTGTGGTGATGGTCGGCTGCAGTGCCTCATGGTTATCCTGCCGATTTTCCTGCAGTGTGCAGGAGGAATGGAGTACAAAGCTGCAGGGGAAGGACTTGTGCTATTGATTGACAGTATGTAGCTGACCGGCTATAGGGGCTGGGGCTCTTTCTTTGCTGCATGCTCTCACTGACCGAATATGTTGAAACGAAGCCATCTGGATGACGTCTATTCAGATCAGAATCCTCCCCTGTCTCCTTGGCTCTTTGTATCACTCACTGTCTTCATCCCTGTCTTTTTATCTGTTTCTGTCTAAATATTTCTCTCTGCATCTCTCTCTGTCTTCTCTCCGACTCTCTCTCTCTCTCTCCTGCCGGCCAGACTGCTGCAGAGCTCTTACAGAAAAGAAGCATAGTGAGATATGGCACTGCATCATAATGCCTCAAACGTGCACTTATCACTCACTCGCTGCACCTCTTCCCTCCTCTCCTGCGCTGGAACTTTGACTGAGCATCCTCTTGGGTTTATTGACCCTGCGACAACTCATGTCAGACGTGTGCTCACTGGCAACGCCGAGTGAAAACCACAGAGACTCACGTGGTGATGCTCGTCACCTTCAAACCGCAGCCCTCTGCGGTTAAAGGGTGTAAGAATGCAAGATGTGAAGCTACACTGGGTGTCTTGTTTGTGCCGCTGGTACTGTGCTGTAAGCATCCACCTGAGGGAGGCCCTGTGGAGATGGCCCTGCCACGGGTGAGAGGACAGGGGGCAGCGTTGCCCTAGAGCAACATTGGTTCCTGCAGTTTTATGCATTCATGTGAGGGTGACTCTGCGTCCATGGGGCATTTACTCAGAGTTTTGTCCTCAGTTTACCTCATGATTTCACCTCATTGCTGGTCTGCGCCAACATCAGGCAGCTGGCGTTAAAGTAAGGTTAGTAAGGGCAAGAACTGTGCTGTGATTGTAAGCTTTAGATCAGAAGCAGGTTCTAAGGCAGGTTGACTGCGTGCACCAGAAACCCTTTGCTGCTTATCCCTCTGTTGTATTCTGCTCTCGTTTTGTGCCACCCCACTACATCAAAGAGATGCAGGCCTGATTTAAGGTGGGTTTTTAACCGTATCTCCTGGATTTCATCACATAAGATTGTAGAGTTGATTGTTTTGCATACAGAATTCTCAAACTAAGCCTAAGTGGAATCTTAAATTGCAGAGGTGTTTCAGCCAAAAGTACAAAATAATGCAGGTCCTCACTTCCTGACAGTTGTGTTCATCCAAGCATTGTGTTTTCCCAAGCTTTGAGATATTTGTCTCTGAGTTTTTTGCTCATTGAAATAGAGGTGAATGACATTTCACTTGTGGTACACACAGCATTGAAAAAAAAAACATTAATGAATTTTAAAAAGCATCATATTTTTCCCGAAACACTGACACTTGATAATTCCTCACAATCCTTGGCGAATGTAATTTAAACTGCAGTTAAAGGAGCAATGTAGTGGCATCTAGCGGGGAGATTTGCAGATTGCAACCAGTGTTCATTGTTCAGTAGGTTTTTACTGGGAGTGAGCCAGTTTGACATTAAAAATTAATGTTTTTCTTAAGCTGTTTGGCTCGTGGTGGAGGGGCTGCTAACCACGGTGGCTGACACAAAAAAGGCGAATGGCCCTTTCTGTGACCAGTGTTTGGTTTGTCCATTCTGGACTCTGTGGACAAGGACGAGCTCCCTATGTAGATATAAATGTCTTGTTCTTATTTTCGGGTGATTATACACTAAAGAAAACATACTTGTTATATTATATTCCATACCATACATACTGACCGGACCTTTAGCTGCTAGATCATCAGAAGCAAGTGATAATTTTTTTTTTTTTTTTTTGTTACTCTTGTGAACTGACCCTTTAACTGCCCTGATTGAATTAACAACCTACTATGCTACGTAAATGATACTCAGTCTTCTCCAGACTTTGAGAGCTCTGTAGATGTCTGTTTTTATTTTTCATATTTTGCATATTAAATATCTTTATTTTTTCTTTCTTTTTAAAAAAACAGTATAAAATACACAGTATTGCACATATTAAATCAATTGCACTTCTTTAAGGTACAGATAAACATCTAGTTCTCTCTTGATGCTACAGCATAACTACTGAAAGAAACCTACTCGGCATGTACAAGAGTGGAGGTGTGAATCACATGTAGCCAACAGAAAGCAGCATGTTGGAGCTTGTGAGGGTAAAACCAGTGACCTCTCGCAGATTGCAAGGTGTTGTAGTGACAGTAGATAAAGACTCTTCTTTGATGCCCTTGAAACCACTTTGGCGCATTTCCTGTCTTTTGGGGCAGTGTTTTTGGCTTTCAGAGTGACTTCAGTTTTATGCTCCTGCAGGCATATTGTTTTCTTTTAGTTATTGGCTGCTTTCCCACTCATTTAAATGGTATTAGCCCTATTTGATGCTATACAACATATATTTATATATAGTAAATGCAAATATTATTTTGGCTGTACATAGTCTTTGAACCCTGTATAGAGTTACTACATGAGCTTTTACTTTACAGTCAACTAGATGGGAAGCAATGAGCAGGAGCTAGTAATAAAAAAAAAAAATTGGAGAAAAACTAAACGAAAAAAAAAAGCAATTTTCATCATTCTCTTCAAAAATTGTTTCTTTAAAAGCTAGAAAATATCCTGCAAAATCCGAGGGTTGTAAAAAGCATGCAAGGCTACACGCCTGCCACCCTGCACTGTAGAAGCCCTGGGTGTGATCAGAAGTGGCACATTCAGTCTCTCTGGCTTGGTTTCAGTAGCTAACGGAGTAGCTGATGCAGGATACTGCAGCAATACAATCACAGCTATCTTCTGTTACCCCTCACATGTGCTAAGAACCAACATTATTTAATATACTTGGTTTCATGACTGGGAAAAAAAAGGATCTTTAAAGGAATACTTCATCCCCCCAAATGGCCGTTTGTATATCAGCTCCTCATCCTGTGTTAAGTTGAATTCGTGAAGAAAATTCTGTTTTTCTCATATGTCTCTGGTGAACGAAGAATCAGAAAAACGAGAAAATTCTCGATGAACTGAAGTCAATGGGGTCCACATTCAACAGCAGCAAAAGCATATGAAAACATCTGTTTTCAAACTCTCACATAACTCGTGCAGTACAATCCAAGTCTCATTTTTTCCAGTCGCATGCCAAGTACTTCCCAAACACATAAATTTTCACTGAAGCCGTAGTATTTAAAACTGAGCTGAAAGTGAAAGTTATCTATGCTCTCTTCAGAAACTGTGATTTTACCCCCCTGGTCTACAGCTGCCAGTCAGTTAGCTGTCAGTTTGTGTGACTTTGGTGTTTTAAAGGGTTAGTTCAGATTCACCAGTCACACAATAAAACAAACAATCTTCTCTTCAAATTAATGTTTTCGCCAATAAGGTCTAGATTTGAAGGGAGCATCGAATAATTTCACCTTTAGTTCAGTTCCGCGTCAGAAAGGGCTGTCTGTTTGGGAAGCACTGAGCATATGACTGGATAAATGAGACTTGGATTATACTGCAATGACTAATGTGAGAGTTTGTAAATAGATGTTTTTATATAGTTTTGCTATTGTTAAAAGAGACCCCGTTATTTCTTTTCATCAAGAATTTTCTCTGGTTTTGGATTCTTCATTCATTGAGGAGGAATGAAAGAAAAGCAAAATTTTCTTTCCTGAATTCAACGTAACATGGGGTGAATAATTGATACACGAATGATCATGTTGGTGGTTAAGTATTCCTTTACACTTAATTTTCTATGTGTTGATCCACAACTCTCTCTAGTTTGACACTGATGAAGTTTTTTAGTATGGACTTATTTTGGGGTATTGGGTTTCGATCACCATTTTCACTGTGAGGTTAGTCAGAACTAAGTTTGATGTATGAAAAGGAATTAAGAATCATTGATTGCCCCTCCTTTGCATTGTAGTTTTTGAAATGCACAGCCCCCCTTCACTGCAGCTCAAATAACTATATCCCACTAAACCTTAAAGTGAATGTATATAGATATATATATATTTATATAGAAAAAAGTACATTGATGTCTAACTTTGCAAATGTTATTAAGAAAATAAGTGTTATTTATTCATTCTTTACTTCAAAGTCAGTTGATTCAAGGAGACATTTTAGAGATGGATAGAAAGTTGATCATATAACTCCATTAAACATCTCTGACTTCTTTGTCCTGTAGGTCTCTTCTTTAGATATTATGAAAGTCTTCAATCTGTCATGGTTAGTAGGTGATCTACATGTGTGAGTTAATACTCAAAATAGTTCTTTTTAATTACTCTGGAGAAAAATGTATCCTGAACAGTGTTAATTGTGCTTTGCAGTACGGTGATATGCTGTTGATGTAGACCTCAGCGCATCATGGTTGAGTTGCCAACCTCTCCTGGAGGCTGGGAAGAAAAGTCCCAACTGGTGAATAGAAATGCGACTATCACTGAACCATTATCACAGAACAGGACCCCGTAGACGTCAGCTAGAAAAATATATGCAAATAGACAGAGGGAAATCAAATTTCGTCTTCTCACCTTGCTGATCTCCAAATATGTCGCCCTGGTGTAATTTCACACCCTGTTTGAAGAAATTAGTTCAAAATAACTCTGAATCCATTTTTGGTAAGCATGACATTACAGAATTTTCCGTGGAATCCACACTTGTGTCCCGTTACACATCCTGTCATCTCTGAGAAAGGCTCAGTATCCAGTGGTGGAGCTCTCCATCAGTACTGGTCACCAGGTCTACAAAAAGCCAAGGGAGATGTGATAAAACTGAAGACGATGGATAACCCAAACAAATATGGACGACCAGACGGACGCATAAATCCTGTGCATCCGTAGTGCGGGTGAGGAGACAGTCTTGTGTGTTTCAGAGGAACCAAAGTTTCCAGCGAGCGTGCTTCTTGGAGTCAGCTTTGGACTTGCGTTTAGGGGTGGAGGTGAAGGCCTCCTGGGGGTAAGGCAGGGAGGGGAAGTGGCCTTCCTCCGTAGGGCAAAGCCTCTTCATCAGCGGCTGCAGCTTGTCCTCCTGCTGCTTGAAGTCCAGCTCCACACTGCGGCAAAGAAACAGAGACACACACAATCAGCTCAAACACTATCTGTGTGCAGGTATTAACACCAGGTACTATTACAGTGCGAGGTAAGCATAATCTATCATATATTTTATTGCATTTTTTCAGTAGAAAGCCTCTCTGTGTTCTCATTCTGTTTTTACTGCTTGCTTTATAAATTTGCTGCTGTTAATGCAGCCCAGTCTTCACATGAGCTAGGATAATCCCTGCCATTTCCAGGAAGACTCTTATTGTGAAACATTTGCAGCATTGATCAGAGTGAATCATCAGAGGGTAATAACTGCATTTCCCTTATTTTCACAGCAATGAAAATTTTATGTTGAACAGCCTTAATTTCTTTGAACAGGCTGCAAACCTGGTCGTTATTCACAAAAACTGGCTCTAATTCCATAGATTTTACCGTGCATATTCTTCCTTCATCGCCACTGAAACCACTCAGGTTTCTTTCCCCTTCACGCTTCTTTTAATCTTGACATGTTTTGACTGCCACACGCTCCCTCTAACCATATTAAGCGTCTACGTTTTGGCCTGTCCTCATTGACCCCTGCACAGGCATCTGTCACAGCATTGCTCAGCCTGGTACAGCGACCTACATTTCTTGCTCACTCAATCCTCATTTCCCAGTAAAACCTCCCAATTTAGATTGTCTTTGATTGCATCTGGCTGCCCACTTTGACTGCAGCTGCTGCCACTGTTGTAGTTTTTGTTATTTGCATTCTTACCATGATTCATAAAGCCAGAGGGAAGCCCATTAGTATTTTTCCCACTGAGAAGTGCTGGGTCACTGGAGGGGGTGTTGAACCGAAGATCATTTGCTTTGCTAAAACTGAGATCAGAGCCTGGGTATTGATGCAAGCCTTTTAGGACTTTAGGTGATATCATGTTGCTTTGATCCACTGCACAATATTACAACATCAGCAATAGGTAATTGAGATGCAGAACAAATTAATTTGTGGGATTTTTGTGCACAAACAGAGTCTTTTCCTTCTTAGTATACTCCACCTTTCCCCAGGGTGCTAGGGGATTTATCTGGACCAGCCATCATTGTAATCCCACGCCTGTGCACATCTGACTACTAGGTTCTGTTAAGTGAAACTCAGATTACAGCCTCAGCTGTGGTAAGTGTAGAGGGGCTTTAATCTGCTAAAGCCTCCTCCAGCCACCAGCCTGAGTCGGGCTGGTGGGGACTCTGACTTACATAATGGCAGCAGGATTCACTTCATGAATACTGCAGTTTGCCTGGCTAGAGGCTTCCATTTACCATTGTGAGAGATTATGCAATGTCAAGGTGAGCTCGGTTGGCTGCCTGCTCTGATTGAAAAACAAGGCATCTGTAATAATTGCCTGTTGCTACATGAGACATCTTTTTTTGAAAGACTTTAGAAGAGGGACTATTTTCAAAATCCACATTGAATAGAATCTCAACACAAAGTGCTTCGGTTTTTATGATATACGTTGATGTCTGACATTGATTACAACAGATCAGATATAAATATGGGTGTCTGACAGTGACTCAAGTGAATGTTGGGTGCTGAACCAGACACTCAGCACTTTGCATTTGTTCGACTCAGGCCTTTACATGGGGCCAAGAACACTGCAGCTATTAGCAATAAATCACAGGCTGTTAATTACACTGGTATAAACCCACTTCTCTTTGTGTGAATTCTGTTAGAGTCTGTGTGTGCATGCGCAAACAGCTCCATGTGTGTACCATTAAGTTAGGCAGGGTTCACTTCCAACCTGTTTTGTGCACCTTAAAGCGGCATTATTCAAGAAACGGTATTTTTGTGATCTGGCGTAAAAACAAATTGCGCCTGCAGGTTGCAAACTGTTCCTATGGTCCTGATGTAAGCTGTAGTGATGCGTCTCACAGCCAACCAAAAATAACAACAATCTGACTGTGTAAATCCCTGCCAGTGTTATTTTTGAAAGATTGCGATGTAGGCTGAAACCTTGCTGGTGTAGTTTCATGCATTTTTCGTCAAGGTGAAAGAGTTAATACAACATCAGAAACCAAGGAACCCTTTCAACCGGTGAAGTAAATTTACAGGATTTTGCACAAACATGACTCTACGTTTTATTTAAGGTGACACTGGAGATGAACACTGGCATAACAAAAAGAACAACAAAAAAGATTGACAGAAAATTTTAGTTTTGCTGAAGTACTTCTCGTGTTTCCAGCCCATATACATACTTTGCTAAACGTTTGAATGTGACTTTCGGCGTCCCAGAAAACAACAAAACTCAGTGAGACAGGCATGACACTAATAAAGTTACAGCCTACGTTGCAATCTTTCATAAACAACACTGACAGAGATGTACACTCGTGAATTGTTGTTATTTTCTATTGGCTGTGACAGATCACTACAGCCCACATCAGGACGGTATGAACAGTTTGCAACTCTGCATTAGTTTGTTTGTTTGTTAGTTTACTCTAGTCCGGCCTTTTGCTCACTGACACTCTCTTTTGCTCTTATTTGCTTCCTATGTCAACATCCTCTTTGATCTCACACATACAGATGAAGCACTTCTCCCGGGAGATCCTACCTGCTCACCAAAGTTACATCCTAAAGAATAGGTGTTAAGACACAGTGAGAATGACGTGCCATTCTCCCTGTTACAAGTCAGTGTGTCAAATGATTTTGAAGCTGTTAATACTAGGTTACGCCTGGTACGCCTCCTGTTAGAGGTGTTCAGGGCATGTCCTTCTGGTAGGAGGCCCTGGGGCAGACCCAGAACACACTGGAGTGATTACATATCTCATCTGGCCTGGGAACTGGAAAGCGTTGCTAGGAAGAGGGACGTTTGGGGTGCTTTGCTTGGCCTGCTGCCCCCATGAACTAGCCTTGGATAAGTGGATGAAAATGGATGGATGGATAGAAAATCAGGGTAAAATTTTCCTATTGTTGCATTAAGCTTAGTTCCTTGTTTGGTTTGGTTCAGGGTCCGATGAGAATGCTGTCATTGAAACAACCAAACAAACAACATCTTCTTCTCTTCTCAGCAATGAATGCGTTAGTTGACAATCCAAGTGACTCCATTAGTTTACAAATCTTGTTTCAGTTGTGAACCAAGATTTGTAAATATGTGTGAACCTGGAATGGACTTTAACCAAAATGCAACTGTGAATCCTTTGCAGTTCTGTTTGGTTTGCAGTTCTTGGACCGAATGTTTAGCCCTGTTCACGAAAAGTCTGTGTTTTGTTTGGCTGTGAATCACTTTTGACGCTTGGGAAAAGACATTTGTCTTGAGGTGTCTTGACCAATTCATGCCATGATAATGATTCACTACTGCAGCTCTCTTCACTCAAACTTTTCAAAATCTTTCTGGCATACAACTGGTTCAGAATTCAGCAGCCAGGCTCTTAGCAGGTGCCAGGGATAGAGACTGTATTACTCATACTTTGTTTTGTTTTGTTTTAACCCTGCACTGGTCTCCAGCTCTGCCAATAAGCTTCTATCATTTCCGAAAACCTACCTTATTGTGCGGGGTGATTGAGCTGTAGCAGACAGAGTTGGCCTTGTAACAGTCTTCTGCCTTCTGCTGTAAGAATGCTTTTACTTTATCTTGTATAATTTTTCCTGATTGTTTTATTCAGTCCATTAGGATTTTATCTTTTCAGTGTCTTATGATTTCTTATATTCACGCTCTCTTACTGTTGATTTTATTTGTCTGACTATCTATAAAAACACTTTGATAACAGTTCTAGATTTTTTTTTTCCTTTGGTCAGGCTCAAGGGAACCAAACTAACACGTGAACGCAGCTCACTGCGTCACAATGTATAATACTGTATGATCATGTCTTCTGAAGTCGAACTCAAGCTCAGATATGAAGCGTAAGTCATGGGCTATGAAATTAACAGGCTTTTGCAGCGCAAATAACTGTAGTAAAACAGCATCAAAGGATTCTGTGATCAATGACTGTGTGTTTGTCAGAGTCTAATGAGTGTGTGGTGGTGTCATAGTCTAGGTGAAGCAGTATGCTGAGTATTTCATTATTGCGCCTTTTTCTTCTCTTTTAAAACCTTCAATTAAGCGTGTGTAAAGGCACAGAGAGACGGAACTCTCTGCCTTTTCTTTTGGGTATCTTTGGGGAAGTGCAGTAGCTTAATGCTGCGTCAATCTTGTTGGATATGTTTCTCAAAAACCCATACATAGACAGATCCGCTCTAACACTGACAGGATTTTCCCTGCTCTTCGATGTAAGCCTCTAATATTGCTAAGGCTGTTGTTGCTGTGCATCCATGGCTGGAGGTTATTGCCCTGCATGGACACATAGCCATTTAAGCTGATTAAAAAAACAAGTATTGTTTTTATTGGTACAATCAGCAGATGTGCTTTCAGTTTATGCTCTGAGGGTATTCTGCGCATGATCAGTGCAGTTTGTGTGTGTGTGTGTGTGTGTGTGTGTGTGTGTGTGTGTGTGTGTGTGTGTCTGTACACCCAACAATATATGTTTATTTAAGATTATTGAATTTTTTCTTTCTTACTTAAAACTTACACATCTGCCGTGCAGTAGATATTAGTATTCACCTGTTTCCCACTCAACCTTACTCTTTTTAATCTTAGCGATGCTTGAAATACATCAAATATTATATATCATGGTCGTCAAATAAAGAAAGAAAAAAACTGAATGGAAGAATAACTCAAAAAAGGCTGTATACAGCTCTGTCTCAGTCTCATTTTTGTGAACACAATATGATGGGGACACATCAAGAGAATGTATTAAAATTTGGCACAAACGTCCACTTGGACTCAAAAATGAACTAATTAAGTTTGGTGGTCGAAGTTCAAGGTCACTGTGACCTCACAAAACCAGTTTTGGCCATAACTCAAGAATTCATACCCTAAGTATGACAAAATTTCACACAAATATGTAATTGGATAAAGTGATAAAATTTTATATCCAAAAGGTCAAGGGTCATCTACACTGCAACATCACAATCTTCTGCAAAACACTTTTATGGCCATTATTCAACGCA